TTTCAAAGAACTTATGAAAGTCATCCCTCACCACTATCGTTTGAATCTACTAAAGGGTGAGATTAAAATTATGCCAGCACACAATGAAACAAGATATGTCATTTTTTAAAATGTCGACAGAAATTGTATTGCCATGTTTTAAACGCATTAAAAACATAGGTGAAAAAGAGGCCATACTTATTGGACAACTTTTCAATTGGTGCTCGAATAACCGCAACCTTGTTGGACGAGTCAGGTATGGTCTACGAATTATCGTGTGAACTTTTTTTTCTCATGTGCTAATATATTAATTGCAGGGTGGCTTTACGTTGCCGACAGCTCCTCCGACGGGTTTATGCCTAGATGCCTCTGTCGTTCTTAGTACAAGGTTTTTGAATACCATGATGACATACACGTCTTCACCATTTGTAAACTTTTTTATTATTGAAGGTGGAATACTTTGCCTCCCAACGAACAAGAAGTATTTCCGGCAGTGGCACCAAACTTTGTAGCAGAGATACGATCAATGAGCGATTCGAAAAGTTTCGTTCATGACAAAATGTGTACATGGATTGACGCAGGAGTCGAAGAAAGTAATGCACTATTTATTAGCTATGTTTATTGATTACTGCTACTAATTATTACTGTTATGTTTATCCAGGAGGGTTTCTCGCTAGATCCTATTACCCAAAATGCAAGAATATATTCCAAAGGTAATTATTATATCCACTGGCGAGATTTAGGAAATTCTCCTACTAGATCTACAAGGAATTCTTTGAAGGTAATATGTCATTGATAAAAAAGACCAGAGTAGCGGTTGTTTTTAATATTAATGTACTAATGTAACCATCCTTTTTAATATTTCTTTCATATCTTTCCAACGTTTTCATCAAACGCACAAGTTTCCATATCAATGGTACCTCGCTAGATTGGATAAAAGCTTATGAGTTGCATTCAGGGTTTGAGACGAGAAGTGAGACAACATCTCCGGTCAGGGTGATGGCAAAGATTACGACATGCGTGTATTTTCAAAGTAAAATAAATTTCCGGCTACGAATATTACGGCAAATATTTTAATCCGCGTTCACTATCACCACGTATTACGGAAAAAGAAAAGATTCGAATGATTACATCACTTAGTAAATCCGGGACGTGTCGTCGATGTTAATGGCCAGACCTTGCTTCACCTAGGATTAGTAGATAATTTTTGGAAAAGGCAACGGACGTGGTGAATTATTGCTATTTTCATACATTAGAGCACCCATCACATAGAA